CCTCCCTGCTCTTCTGCTTGTTCCATGGCTCACCCTGGTGCTCCAGCCATAAGTTCCCACCTTCGCCCCACCTCCGGGGCCTTGGCTTGCTGTTTCCTTCTGCTTGTGCAGCTACCCCCAGGTAGGCACATGCCTCAGAACCTTATTCTTTCAAGTCTGTGCTCAAATGTTTGCAAGTATGAGCTCCTTGACCACCCAGTGTGAGCACACAGCCTCCCCCATGATCTAGCCCCCCTCCCCTGCCTTGATTTATTTTTTTCACAGGACAAGTCCCACCTGAATGCAGCAAATGACATAACTGAAGCATACCTTACGTTTGTTGTCTGTCTCACAACTAGAAAGAACAGAAGCTTTGTGCTTCGTCTTATTCCTGCTCTGAACCCTCAACACATAGCACAGAGCCTGGAACACAGGAGGTGACAAGGAAATAGGTGAACACTTGCTGCTACATTCAAGTTGCATGACCTTGGGCAGGTCACTTGTCTGGACTTCAGGCAGCCTGTCTGAATGGAGAGGTTGGCAGGTCTGAGGGGTGGCCAGAGATTTGAAGTTGCTGCCTGATGGCACCCCAAGGGCAAGAGGGCCTGGCAGTTACTAGGCCAGCGATGGGCTTGAACTTGATTCTGGGCCTCAGTGGCAGCTGCATGGTCTGGTAGGTAGGACCCAAGTCCCTCATCTCTGCCTGGGTAGCCCTGGCTAACCTCTGTCCCTGCTGACCAGTTAGTGAACCCAACATCTGGCAGCCCACTGACCCCTTTCCTGCTCTCCCTAACCCTGCCTGGGCTCCCGTCTGCTAGCCTCCCTTCGCTCTACTCTCCCTCCTTAGATCCTGTTTCTTATTTAACCCTGGAATGGCACTGGGTACACTTTGAGGAAAGCAGCTATTCAGACAGTGGCAGGCAAAATGAAGGGCCAAACAGCCCAGCCCAGCCTCCCTGAAAACAGCCGCACCTCACTAGGAGGCATCCAGCCCTTTCAGACCTCTGGAAACCTCCTAGCCCACTGAACTGTCCCACCAGCCAAACAAACAAGGGGGGAGCCCTTCTTCCCACTGAGTCGTGGTAGGTGGTAAAGCCAAGACCCCTGACCAGACCAGGGGACCTGTCCATTAGGCAGCTTCCTCTGCCGGTCATCGCCTTAGCATTATGGGGTACCTGCTGTGTGCTGCTTCATGACCCCGTGATCATGCCAGTGGGGTATGCTGGAATATGGAAGGATTTGGTGGCCAGGCAAGACTACATTTGAATATTGATGTTGTGGCTTCATGCATTCATTTTCTAAATACAAATTGGGCACTTTGTGCTTGGCAGTGTGTCAGGCAGAGGTGAGCAAGACCTCTCCTGAAACTGATAGTTAGGTGGGCAGCAGCTTGTCTTGCTGTGTGTTCTCCACCAGTCCTTTGATAGCTCTGAGCCTGATTTCTCCTCTTAGAGATGGGAAATCCATCCCATGGGGAATTATCCTGATGCCCCTTTGGTCAGAGCTTGTGGGAGGACCCTGGCCAGCTGGGAGGTGGGGGTTCCATCCTCCTCTGGCAAATGTGAATCTGGACTCCTCTGCCACACTGTTCCCCAAAACAGCAGAATGGCTCCTGGCTCAGATGAAGCGCTCTGTTCTCCTTTGGGATAACGCATTCCACCATCATCTCATTCCTCCAAACCCATAGGACATGAGCCTGGAATCCAGAATCCCTGAAGTGATCTCAGATGAGACATGTGAGCTGCCCTTGTCCTGAAGTTCTCTATCCCCACCTCCCCCATGACCGTAGGCTGGGTTGGAGAACTTTAGTTAGCCTTCTTTCCTTTCTCCCTCTGCCCTTCCCTCCATTCATTCAACAAATACTGAATTTGTGTCAGGTTATCATCCCAGGTAAACCAATGGGTAAACCAACAAAACCTACAAAATGCATAAATATGTAAATTATGTGATAATGGTGGAGGAAGAGAGAACAAATGCAAAGGACCCAAGAATAGAGTGTGCCTGGTGAATTCAAAGGACTTGGAATGAGCTTTGGGGGGCCAGGTGAGGTCAGAGCGGTTCAGGGGGGCTGCTTGTGTAGGATTTTGCCAGCCACTGGGAGAACTTTTTCTTCTGATGACTCTGAAACCAGGGAGGGAGCTGCCCCTGCTCCTGGAGGAAGGGGCACACACTCCCATCCTTACACTCCTGCTGCTCGCCTAGGCCTGATTCCAGACTACATAATTGAAGACAGAGACTAAGCCTATAGTTTCAAGATGGGGTGCCCAAAGGGGAGCTGGGCTGCCCAGGGCATGCCGGTTGGGAAGGGGTGTCTGTAGTGTGCCTCTTTGTTCTTGCTGTATTCTTACTAGGTAAGCCAGGGCAGCCCACACATTTAGGGTTCATTTCTAGGAGACAGGCCTACTCTTTGGGCAGCTGTAAAAGCAGTTACACTAGAGTCTGGGGAGGCGGTAAGATGTTCAAGACCTGTTTCCCAAACCCGCCTGTAAGATGTTGATTCCAAGGCAGAGGGAATAATATGTGCAAAGGCTCTGAACACATGAATTGATTAGATCTGGGCTATAGCCCAGGAATCTGTTGTGTTGTTATTGTTTCCCAGTTGACAGGGTACCATTACCCATGGTAGGTTTGGGAATGACGATTCAAGTCTCTGGGAAACTAGTGGGCTCTACTATCAAGATCTGCACAGCCATCAGCCAGGGTCCTAAAAAAAAAGTAATTCTTTTGAGACCCCTTCTGCCCTCCACCCCCACCCAAGCCAGAGGGTTTAGGAGGCACTCAAGCAGTGGGGGGAAATGTGTTTCTGCCTCCATCAGATAGGCCAGGCAGGGAGAAGGCTCTCCATGCCACCTTGCTGTAACTGCCTCGAGGAGGGTGGTATGGTATGTAGGAGGCATGGAGACATCACTAGGGGTGTGTGTGTGTGTGTGTGTGGGGGGTTAGTGGATGATGAGAAGATATTTGGGCAGCCATTCAATAGCAAAAGTCAAGGGTAATAGTGGGGTGAGTACCTCCTCCTTAGCCAGAACAGGCAGTGGTGGGGGCCCCAGAAAATGGAGACAGACTGGCAGGCAAGAGAAAGTGGAAAGAGCCATGTCTGACACAGCTGTGTGATCCCTTCCATGATAGGGTGGATGGATGGAAGGTTCAGACACGTGTGTGGATAGAACGGTGAGTGGATGTAGAGAAGGAGCAATGAATGAATGAATGGCTGCGTGGGTGGTGAGCAGCCTGGCAAGGGGTGGGCCAGCCAAGCGCTCTATCACGGAGAGGGGGGTATGCAGTGAGTGGGGAGCTGCCTGCCAGCTCAGAACCCTCCCACCGTGGATCCACTCGGGGCACTTAATTCTGTGCCCCGGGGGCTCTGGAACTGCTTCCAGTGGCTGCTCTGGGACTGAGGCCGGAGGGTCAGAGCCACCACAGCGGGGCTCCATGTGCCAACCTTTACTGAACAGCAGGGCTGTCCCTCTGCCACCGCGGGGGTGTGGGGGGTTGGGGGTTGAGGTGCGGTCTGCCTCGAGGCGCCCCCCCCCATGCTCTTTGTCTCGGCCCAGTCGACCGCTGTGACCGGGCCACGACCCATCTCTTCAGGAGGTTCACGCCGCCCGCGTGTTCTGAGCTGCTCCCTGATGTCCGAGTCGCAGTCCCCTCAGCCCCTGGCACACAGGCGCCCCCACCACCCCCTACCCCAACCTCCAGGGTCCTTCAAACCCAGTGCCTTTAGGGCCATGGGCCGAGTGCCAGGATCTGCGTCTCTGGCGTGGAGAGGGGGGTTGCGGGATGAAGGCCTCCTCATCTCCACCTCCTCTCCTCAGCCACCCCCCCTTGGTCACTACTCCTCACGCTGCGCTGCGACCTCAGCGCTGCCTGTTCGCGCCTTAAGTGGCTCTTCTGCGGCGGTGCGATCCCTGAAGCCTCTCAAACCTCACACCCTCCCCTCCCGCCCCCAGCCCCGCCTGCCAGCAAGCAGAACACAGCCCCACGCAGGCACACACAAGACCGCCTGCAGACACAGTACAGCTCGCCGACCCACAGCCCTGCACAGGCGCACTGCCTTTTACACGCACAGACCCACAGTCCCGGCAACCGCAATCCCACTCGCAAACAAGCCCACACGGTTACACCAAACCCCTCAGACACATTCGGGCCCACGCAGACACAATCCCAAACACACACAACCTCACACTGACACAGCCCCACACAGACGCAGTCCCACCCACGCAGTCACACAACCCCCCCACATAAACAACCGCACACAAACACAACCCCACGCAGGCTCCGCATCACTCAGCCCCTTGGAGATCCAGAAACACATTCACGAGCTGGTAGCCAGACCCCAGGACCCCGTGACATTCACGCGTAGGACAGACCAGAAATATACAGCCACACTGATACACACATGGACCTAAACACACAGCCAAGAGCTCACCCACGGGCTCGTAAGTCACTGGAAAAATATTAAAGCGTTCCCTCCCTCCCCTTCTGTCCC